ATACGTAAGTACCAACAAAAAATTTCGAAAAAAACCCATCGCATGATAAGTGCAAAATTACCCGTAAGTATCAAAAAATATTTTCGAAAAAAAAAACCATTGCACGATAAATGCAGTTTCACCAAAAATTGACAATTGAATAATTTTTCCTTTAATTTCCCATCATAGGATCACACACTGTAGAATTACTATTATTGACCAATAGATTTTTGAAATAAAATTTCGAAATTTGGAAAAAGCAAGAATTTCTAATAAAAGTCGAAACATTCGAGATAATAGTTGAGATTTCGATGTAAACGGCAAATTTTTAACTCTGAAGTCGAAATTTTAGAAAGAAAATAGAAATTTCCAGCTAAAAATCAGAATCTTCATAAGATCCGGAAGTCTTGTAGATCGGCAAGCAAAAAATATGAAGACCTAGATGAAAACCATAAGAATTGGTGTCGAATTTGATCTAAAAGCATTGTTTTCAACTCACCGGCATCCTTTCCTCACTCTGGGTACACTTTTCAAAGTTCAAAAATTCAAATTCAAATAATCTAACAGTCAGTATTCACCACACATACACACACTTGCGTAGTAAACGATATACTGATAATAGATTCGACTGTACTCAGTCGAACAGTGTTCTGTAATCGAATGATTCACAATTTTTTGTCGATCTCGATACGATAAACAGTCACCACTTTTTTCATAAAACATTCCATTAATCGGACGTAAATAACAGAGTGTCAAAAGTAAAGTTTGAAGATTTTTAGAACGATACAAATAAACATGGTGACCAATAATTACCAATATGAAATATTTCTAGAATCAGTAAAACTTGAAAAAAGGATAATGCTTCTTTCAATGAACATAAAATATGCCCTTCAGAAGGGTATTGAGGATTTATTTTTATACAACGTGATGTATGTGGAGTATTGTTTTTCAATTATTGAGTATTCAATTGAAATGAAGCATTTTTTTTATCGCTTGGAGCGCACGAAAGGGAATCCCTATAATGTTCAAAGAACATCGTGCGTTCCTAGGGAGGATAGGGACAGGAGGTAGGTATTGGAATTTTTTTTGAACTTTTGGAGCTTATACAGGGTGTTTCATTGGGAAAGATAAATAATTCAACTGTGGATAGGGGTCACTGGGGTGATTTAAAAAAACCCATGGTTAATGGGTCTTCGACTTCTTATAACCGAGATACAGGATGTTTCATCAATTTTGTCCATATCTTCATTGTCTCATAACTTTTCAAACAACTTGTATATATTCTTAAAAATTGGTACACTTGCTCAATATAACCTGTGGAATTGATTGAGGCAACAACAAAAGATAAAATCCAGGTCCGGCTTCACTTAAAATTCACAAATTCTTTCTGCCAGAAAACAACACCCTATGCATTCGAATTTCTAATTTTTTTGCCATATCTGAAAAGAACATCAAAATTTCTATTCAACTATATGCTTTTTATTCGTGCACAGACGATCTTAACTATTCATATTATGTGCTCAAAATATTATTTTTGCTCATTTTGGGGTACAAAATTGGAATCAGACGAGATTTATTAATTTTATTACTTCCTATTCAGTATACGTGAGTTTTACATTATGAAGGAGTATTTCATATCGTTCTTTGTTACAGACTTAGTTGCAGGTCCGTCATCAAAACTATACAGGGCTTTTCACGATGAGCGTTAATTTGACGTTTTCGGCAAACCAGGCAATGGATAAATCTGAAATTTCGATGGTATGTATAAATTAACATAATCTACACTACCGAATTATTTGAAACAATCCGGCCTTGTCGCTTCTACTAGAAAGTAGCAGCAACTTCGATTTTTCAAATGGGACACCCTGTATTTCATTACATTATTGGATTCTTGCTGAACAGCAGAATTCATTGACTCAAAACATTCAAGGTCTAGCGGGACTGATTACTGAGATATAGGATGTGGAAAATCGAGATGTTTTAACTTTAGAAATGTTTTGTGTTGAAACTATTCATTATTGTATGGTCAAACGGCTTCAATGTCCCTATCTCAACTTTCCATTCGATATTCAATTGAAACAGATACAGGGTGGTGCAGAAATCTGAATTATGGATACAAAGTTAAGATAGGGACATAAAAGTCGTTTTGATCAATAATAAATATTTTCGCATAATAATTCCAAAGTTGAAACATCTCGATTTTTCTCACTCTAAATATCTCAGTTATTAGTACCACTAGACCCCGAACTTTGTGAATCAATTAAATAAGCTCTTCAAGAAGCATCCAGGGTGTCCCATTTGAAAAATCAAAGTTAATGCTACTTTCGAGTAGAAGCGGCAACGCCGGAATGTTTCAAATATTCCAGACGTGTATATAATGTTAATTTATACATACCTTCGAATTTTTAGATTTGCCTGGTTTGCCAGAAACATCTAATTAACGCTTATCCTGAAAAGCCCTGTATAGTTATGATGACGGACCTGCAACTAAGTCTGGAACAAAGAACGATATGAAATGTAGATGTAAATAAATGTAATACTCACGTATACTGAATAGGAAGTAATAAAATTAATAAATCTCGTCTGATTCCAATTTTGTACCCCAAAATGAGCAAAAATAATATTTTGAGCACATAATATGAATAGTTAAAATCGTCTGTGCACGAATAAAAAGCACATCGTTGAATAGAAATTTTGATGTTCTTTCCAGATATTGCAAAAAAAATTAGAAATTCGAATGTATAGGGTGTTGTTTTCTGGCAGAAAGAATTTGTGAATTTTAAGCGAAGCCGGACCTGGATTTTATCTTTTGTTGTTGCCTCAATCAATTCCACAGGATAGATTGAGCAAGTATACCAATTTTTAAAAATATACACAAGTTGGTTGGAAAGTTATGAGACAATGAAGATATGGACAAAATTGATGAAACATCCTGTATCTCGGTTATAAGCAGTCGAAGACCCATCAACCATGGGTTTTTTGAAATCACCCCAGTGACCCCTATCCACAGTTGAATTATTTACCTTTCCCAATGAAACACCCTGTATGTTGTTGGGAATACTTCCACAGGCAATGAATTCCAGAGCCTAGCCGTTCTATGGATGAAGGAGTCTTGATAAAGTGCTGTTCGACATCTTTCGAGGTTGACAACGAAAGGATGTGCTGACTGGGCTTGTCTAGTTCGTCGGATTGGTATTGCTAGTGAAGGGATGATAGCAGAGATTTCCGAAGAACATTTCCCGTGGAAGTATCGATAGAAAAGTGAAAGGTCGCCGACCTTTCTACGGTGTTTCAATGATGAACCTAATAATTTTCGTTCGACTTGTTCGTACAACTACACTATAAAATTGGGGACGAGCGAAATACAGGGCGTCCCAACTCTTCAACGAGAAGAAAATTTGTTTCGATCCAACGGAAGTTATCAGGTAATACTATTGTACAGTCGTCTTCAGAGATCATGTAGCGGTTGGACGGTGTCAGCGCTATTATTGCAGGAGTTATTAAGAATGCTATCATCGTCCATGTGCGACATGTTTTCTGAAGATGATATAAAATATCATACTCCAAGAGCCGGTTGCGAATTTCGACCGTCATTTGATAACGAAATGATATACAGTGTGTCCCAGCTAAAACTTGTCACCCCCCTAATCTCCGATGTAGTAACAGAAATTGGAAATCGTTCGGACAGATCGATTTCAATTTGGCGAGGGACACATTTTTCTGCAATTTTGTTGAAATTGAAAAAAATGGCTGCTCCAAGTTAGCGGACAAGATTTGGTCCGATTCCATTCAAAATTGGTAAGTAGGGGTTTTTGAGGTCGGAGATCATGATTTTTTTGTTAAAATTTATAAATTCAAGATGGCGGCTTCCAAATGATTTTTTTGTTCTTGTATAAATGACGATAACTCCGTTGTTATCAACACAAAACTATTACTGCGACATATCATCAGGAAGAGAAAAAAAAGTTATTTGTAACTAAGTCATAGTGAGCTACGACCTACATTTGAAAAACTATAAAGTTGGTGCTGATATCTCAAATTCTAGAAGAGTTGGTATGAATTTCATATTCTTTTCGAAATCACTTTGAAAAACTGCCATGAGAATGTGAAATTCCTATTTGAATATTTTTATAAATAAAGAAGTTACGGAGGAGACATGAAAATGATCAAAATCTGTTTTTTGCGTATAAAACAAGAACGAATAGATTTTATCAAAATGTTTTTTCACATTATAGTTGGCCCTGACAAACTCCACATTTGGTGTCATTTAACCGACCTCGTATCTCTCACCGTTAAAAAGATACCCATGGTGAGCATGGTAAGTGGGACACACTGTATATAACCTGTATGTATTACTGCTAGACTCCAGGTGTTATAGGTCAATAGAATCAGCTCTCCAGGGAGAATCTGAAAATGGAATAATATATAGAATGTCCCATTTGAAAAATCGAACTTTTCAATATAAGCGGCAACGTCGCAACACTGACAATATTTTAGGTCAATAGAACACAACTAATTATCCAAAGCACCAACTTTTCAGAATAATCCTGCCATCCACCGTGAATCAGCCTGTATATTGACACATCAAAATCGAAATGACAAACCAACAATTCAGAAAAATATAGAATGAACAATAAATAATAAATATAGAATCCACTTGCATTCTTCTGAACGGAGACAATATCATCGTTTTCTTTTTTTCGGTTTTGTTCGAGTAGGAATTAATATCATTGTATTGTCTATGTTGCAATAAATATTCCTCTTATTTATAGGGACAACGAGAGAAAATAGGTGCCAAAAATTCAGAGAAATACATATTCCTCCTCATCCATTTCTTTCTATTGAATATTTTTTATACTAGACTTATCTATGAATTACAAACTGAGATGATCATTTCTGTTTGTTCAGTTTGTCACACATTTGATTGCTCAAACTAACTCGGAGCAAACCGACCGATATCATAGTTTTCACATTACGCATTTTTTCCATATAGGACGCTGTACACATCCAAAACAATCTTATCAGGTGAGATAAGGTGATATTATCTGTATCGTTTCGATTTTACTCATTGCAGTAACAGGTACAATTCGAGCACAAGTCTCAAAATAATTGCATTTTCGAAACGTGTGAAAAGTGACCTTAAGGCCAAGATGACGAGCATAGAAACAGTTGGTGCTATTGTGATAAAGTTGTTGAAGCTGGTGAGTTTAATTTGAAATCCATGGACTACTTTCTTTGTTTGATATAGATTTATCTTATAATTGTATGTAGGGCGTATACTGGAATTCACACCTACTTTTCAATTTTATCTAAGTCGATATTTTAATTGTGGGCACTCTTTATACAGGGCTTTCATTTCAAAACTACTTTGAAATCTCAAATGGCACCCCTTACTTTGGGATAGGTACATAAAATTGTAGGTCTATCATTGATCAAATCAACCAGGTGAAACAAATTTATTTCGTATACAGGGTGAGTCATGAGGTACTGTACATACTCCTACCACGAACAGATGTCCCTAAGGGGAATATCAAATGGCCCTCTGGAGTTTTCCATCTCTTCTACAATAATAATAAACAGGGTGATTCATAGAATTGAGCGAAAAAATAGTTTTACTCAACTTTTCTTACTTTTACTTTCCAACAGCTTCTTTGATTCATTCCATTTTTTCATGGAACGTTAGGCACTCCAACACTAATAGACTAACGTATACAGAATTGGAAAAATCCAGGACCGTACTTGTGAAATATTGCCAGCTATTAAAGAGTTCACTCTGTATATGGTTACAGTGAACAATGACATCTTTTCTGTCACCTAACCTAACCTGACCACAATGCTGTATCACACGATATGATCTAATCTTTCCTGTTGATCAAAATTGGGAAAAAACCATTTTTGCGAAGAGTGCTTTGGCACGGAAAAATAGTTATTTATTATACAAGGGAAAAAAGTAGTAGATTTTAGCTCCAGGTTGTGTTGTCTCCCGACGCGTAGCGGAGGAGACAAAAAACCGTGTGCTAAAATCTAATATTTTTCCCGTGTATAATACACTATTTTTTTCTGTGACAGGAGGAAGTCCGAATCAATATTGAGAAGATATTACATTATTTCGAAATCTGAAAATTATCGACGTGAAATTTCAAGTTTTTAACAGTAGGGACACCTGCGTTTTATAGACATCTTTATCATTCTTTTGAAGTAATCAAATATCTGATGTCACTTCTGTCAGTTCAATTCTGTGATTTTATTTTAAAAAATTGCGAATTCAGTAGTTGTTTAGTAATATACGAAACCGCGAAGTCGAATGGAAGATAAAAGGACTTGCAGTTCTTTCTCGGAGACGGTATTATTGACTCATTTTTCGGAACTATAGCACAACAAAAGCCATTAACAGAGTATATATATGTGATATATATCCGGGAAAGAAGTACTCACTTTTTTCCCCACGGGAAAAAAGTAATTTATGAAAAGTGACATTTTATAACCTGCCAACAGAGATGAAATGCCAAACTTTTTTACCGTCACAGAAAAAAAGGTTGTTGCATCAACAAATTTTTTATGCTTGAATTATGTTTGTTGGACTAAGCAATTTCATGTTGAATCAACCAGATACATGATCATTTCATGGAAGCAGCTTGTTCAAATCAAGAATGTAGTCTGATTGAATCAACAGTATAATATCAATTCCATCAACAAAATATATGGTTTTATCAAAAATAATTTATGTTGATCCAAGATAATGTCGATGTTGATTCAACTATAAACATTTTGTTGATTCGATCAAATAATGATCATTTTGATGGGAATATATCTTTGAAACAACATACAAGTTTTCTTATTCCGATGTAGCAATGAACTTGTTTCGAACGGATCATTTGCTTGAATAGAGCAACGAAATATGTAATATCAATGAAATATTTTGTTCATTCTACATCAACTTAAATTTCCGCCTCTAGATGGCGATCATTTCGCCTCGTCTATGCCTGTCTCGAATTCATTATATACGTGAAACCTGATTCTTCGTGTTTGAAATATCAGCTGGATGAATCAAACTTAGGATGATTAGAAATCCGAAATATTTTTCCATCAGCTGAGGAGAAGTAAAGACTGAAGATCTATGCTAGAAGTCGACTTGTTTCCTAGTTTTGTTTATTCTATTGATGTGAAATTTCAGAAAATTCCCGAATATTGAATTTGGTTCACCAAAATAATTTGTCGAATGGATATACAGGGTGTTTCCTAACTGCGGTTCCTAACTGCAGGGGGTGATTTTTTATGTCATTTCAAGAAGAAAAGTTCCTATGAACATATGTCCGGAGTTGCTTTGTTTCTGAGATACAGGGCGTTGGCGTAAAGAAAAAAATAACGGTAATTATAAAATATCATGAATATCCTGGAACCGATTTGGTTGAAATTTGGTACTTTTATTTGTCAAATTTTCTAAAATTTCAGCACATCAAGTGTCAATTATATTTTTGGCGGAAATAATGAGAAACTCATTTCTCCAATGCAGGTGTTCATGATATGCAATACAGTGGCTTTTTCTCGAAAACGAAGCTGGAAATGAAGAAAATATAGGAGACCATAAAGTTGTAGTTTGAGTTGCTCAATGTGAAAAAAATAAAAATTCACCAAAAATGTCAGTAGCGTACTTTTTTTTTACTGTATTGTTGGCTGTGGTGCCCACTGAGACGCCACTGGCCCCAATAATTTCAATCCAAATAGGGCTTAATAAGCGCCTTATTAGTTCAAATAAAACTACAAAATTTCAACCAAATCGGTTCCAGGATATTCATGATATTTTGTAATTACCGTTTTTTTTCTTCAATTTCATCACCATGTATCTCAGAAACGAAGCAACTCCGGGCATATGTTGATAGGAACTTTTCTTCTTGAATTGATCTAACGAATCACCACCTGCAGTTAGGAACCGTAGTTAGGAAACACCCTGTATAGTCCCTCTTGAATCAACAAAATATTTCATTGAATTAACCAAATATTTCATTGAATCAAACAAATATTTCATTGAATCAACCAAATATTTCTTTGAATCAACCAAATATTTCGTTGAATCAACCAAATATTTCGTTGAATTAACTAAATATTTGATTGAGGCAATATGTTGTTATTTTGAATCAAACAAAATGATTGTTTGATCCAATTCAATAACTCTTCATAAACAATTCATGAATGTGCTTGATTGAAGAGGATCCAGAGTTAATGCATCAAGACATATTCACTTGATTCAAACTTCAAATTCGCTCTGAAACAAGATATAGATTTACTCATTTCAAGATAATATTTTGTCGTGCATATATGACACTTTTATTCGCTCCATTCAATTGAATTTTGCATGATTCAACAATTCCTTTTTTTCCGTGAAGAAACTCCAACAGTCAACAGTTTTGTTTAAAAATCTGAATTTCGACAGTTCAATTGAATATGCGAACAGAACTGTTGAATTTTAAAGCTTATCCACATAACGCAAGAAGGGTTGCCGAGTGTCTGTCAGATACGTTCCCTGACAAGGTAATCTCCAACACCGGAGACATACATTGGCCAGCGTGATCACCTGATCTCTCTCCGCTGGATTATTACTTATTGGGAACTATGAAAGATTTAAAAGATCAATTGACTTACCTGTTAAGGAAAATTGATCATAATTATATGAACATTTTCGTCGAAGAATTATAAAAATAACCACTTGTAGTCGTTCCTTTCGACTCTACTAGGTACGAAGTTCAAAGACAAATTTTCAACATCCACCCTGATACCTAACATTCCTGTGCCCAACCGATACCGCCTAGCAGCCGATAGTCATTTCTTGAAAGTATTGCTGGATCGTCAGGGAGGGATCGAATAGGGCGGGAATTTATAATTCTTCGACGAAAATGTTCATATAATTATGATCAATTTTCCTTAACAGGTAAGTCAATTGATCTTTTAATTATATTTCACATTTTCGTCTCGAATTATAAAAATAACCACTTGTAGTTGTTCAAAGAGGTCAGACGATCCAGCCTATGAACGTCTAAGACCTGTGTCTCACAATCTATTGAAATACATATCAAGTATTTCATGTAAATATGCGAATTCACAAAATATGGAGTTATAGTGATTCGAAACAAAGTCTATAGAGAATAACAATAGGTCTGGTCAATAAAATATTGTAATTAACCATACCTATAATACTCGCTTGCTTCAATACTCCGTAAAACAGGAAAACAATTTTGAGGACAATAATAACAGTCTTTTAACCTCGACTTATATATAACCCATAACTTAATCATCGTTAACTACTGAGCCAGAAAGAACTCGCAAGGCAAGTGCTTGGGTTATATCGAGTTATATGTCGTATCGTAATCGTATAGTAGTGGTGGCGAGACAAAGTTGAGGTTTCTCTTTCAAAAAAGGGTAATAATACCACTGGCTGATTCCTTGACCAGTCAGTAGTCTTGTCCACTCTATATCATCTACCTGTATAATTCCTCTCAGTTTCAAGTTACAGATACAATTTTCGTAATCAAATCTGAAAAAACTTTCTACAGGATAAAGTCTCCATCAAAGGTTAATCAGTTATTTTGGTTGTGGAGGCCTTCTATTGCAACTCCCCTTGAAGAGGCTTTCAAGGAGCAGGCTATCGCTTTCGTTTAATCGAAGAATCAGAGATGAAGCCGACTTATATGAATTTATCAGCGAGAATGATTTATCTTGTTTATACTGCTGATTCTAAAATTCAATTACGAACCGGATCATAAAGATTCTGCTTGTTATCTTGACAATATCTGCATCAAATACTCCTCTGCCACCAGGGTAGTTCTTTTCCACAATGAATGAGTTGATCTTGTGAGGTTATGAGGACCATTTTGGAGCTACCACTATCCCTCTTGCTCTCTTTCTGATTTTGATTGTTTTGCTCAACCTATAAGGTATAATCGCAAATGGAGGAAAAACCTAGAAGAAAAAGTGTTTCCTATTGTTGGTGAATATGCATCCACCTTCCAAGAATTAAGGTCTGGCTTCCATGACATAAACTTTCTACATTTTGTATTGACTGATGAATCGGTTGAGTATATTTCTGGAGAGCCTAGTTGTTTTAAAATAATATAAAAATATTTTCCTGACAATTTATATTCTATTTCAATTGAAGTGCAGCGTGACTTGCTGACGGCCTCAGTGTCTTGTTCCGAATCTATATATG